ACGCTTCTGCTCATTGACACTTGGTCTCTCTGTAGCAACTCTTGCTAACTCCCAGTACATGTGACACTGTGTAGGTGCTGGAGAAAAGTTTGAAACTCATTCATAAACACCTCTCTGAATGCTGTCTGTTACAGCCAGCTTCTCAGCATCCTCACCTGGCTGTCAAGAAGGAGAGGCTGTTATTTCATTACTGGTCAATTATAAATGCCAATGTCATTTCCCTTAACGTTGCATTAAGAGTAGTGAAAAAGAAAATACAAAGAAAGCGAATTTTAGTTCCAGTTAACTGACTTTATCCAGGCATTTTCTACAAACTTCTTTTTTTAGTGAAAATACTAAAAAGTTTGCACTGGAATGGGAAAAATACTTTTAGTGACTTTCATTTACACAACAAACATTTTCTCCTTTCCGTTTTGCCCTTCTTTCACTTCCCCCCAAGTTACTGGCTTTTCAACCAAAACTCATTTCTGGACCGTAGAAATATAAGCAATTCTTTCCTTGGGGGAAAGAGGAGTTCATTGCTTTGACAACAGTATCATCTGTTTTAAAACAACAATAAAACTATAAAGTCACTCTTAAAGCCACCTCTGTCAACATGTAATTTATTGGCAGTCATTTTCAGAGAACTATTACAAACAACTAATAGTCAGAGAGAAAAATAATCTCAAACACAAAGTACTGGGAAAAAAAACACACCCTAATACATTAAGTAATGCTTTGATAGTCATGAACTTTGATCATTATGTTATGTTTCATTTACAGTAGAATAAAAGATATTGCTATGAAGTCATTTTTTCATAAAAGTGCAAAATATTCATTGAGTTAGATTTGAAAACAAACACAAAAGGCGAAAGCCATGTTATCTGGAACACAACACGCACAAACATTTAACTTTGGGGTATAATATGAAAAATAATTATTTGCAGAAATTGCTGTCATTTAACAGCTGTGATTAAGACAGTCCTCCTAAATAGTGCCACTCAACATTAACTTTCATTTAGGCTCAGAAGAAATGCCTTGGTGATATCAATGAGGGAGCCACTCTTGAACTGGACTGACATGAGGTTACGCTCCAACTCCTAACTACTCTGTCTACTCCGTGTTCTGCAAGATATTTGTGTATACTTTTTTGTTAAAAACAAAAAACATACCCCAAAATAATGTACACATTTTGCTCATCTTTGGACTTCCTTAAGGTAGTATAAAGTTCTGTTATGATTAAAAAACCATAATTCTCTATCCAAACCAGCATTCATCCTTCCAGACACAACTTCCCCATCCAATGCAAGTTATTTCTTTTTAAATCCCACGTGAATTATATTATCCTGTCTTAACATATGGTAAGAACAAATGAGAAATGATCTTATACTAGTAGAGAGACTGAAGTCTAACTCTGTCTAGTGGAAGATTGCACCTCTACTGGCAATATGCTTACAGAATTTAGAATTTCAGATTAGATACCACTGTTTTTTCTGCCAAGGACCATCTTCCTCAAACAAGGCAGATGGCACATTCAAGCTACAGGATTCAAAAGGTACTCAGCTCCCTTTAAAAGGAAAGAAACAAAAGATGGGAGACAACAGATTATTTATTATTTGAACATCTGACGGGGTAACAGGTAAAGAATAACCTTGCACTAAGCTAAAGGCAAGCTTCGACTAATAGAAATCTTTTACTAATGTTCAGTAGTTCCGTTATTTCTTGGAATGTAATATTAAAGAGACTGTAAGAGATGCATTCTCACAGCATCACCTACCCCATTCGGAAGCAAGCAGAAAAAGGGGCACATTACATCAGACAACTCTAAGGATAAATTCACTCCATCTGTCAGGCAGTATCCCCAATTACAAACTATCCATTTAACTGCATGAGAAACATGTACACAGATGATAAACCCCAAAACATTTGCCTTACCACAAGGGCAGTAGCATGACCAAAGGTCAAAATGCTATTTAAAGAACAACCAACATTTGTTTACACCCTTTAATGAGGTTCATTTTCACATCACATTTTCCTTAAACACTCACATCAAGGGGATATAAAGACTTATTCTATTGCAGGGCAGTACAAGTTAACTATTTGGACAAAATAAATAGGAATGACTTAGAGCCATGCATTGCTTCCCTGCAAGAAAAGGAGAGGAAGGGGAAGTCTGAAAAGAGTACTGGGTTTTCTCTGCATTTTTCTTGTTCTGTTTCACTGCTTCCATGTAGCCTACGCTCCATTGGCTCTAGGCAAAGGGGGCAAACCCAGGGGAAAAGAGATATGGCAAATCCATCAATTCCTGGTAACTCAGCCAACACGCTTAGAATAAGCCAAACACAACTCCTTTTGCACTTGTCACAGACTTTAATGCCACAGTGCAATAATCCTTAATGCAAAACTCTGAAGCATAAGAGAATTGTCAATGCTATTCTTCCCAAAATTGTAAGTATAAAAGCTGTAAACATCCTTATTCTTAAGAGCATACAGTGAACGTACCATGGAAACCCAAATGCACCTTACAGTTCAGACAAAAAAATATTGCAGATGTTTTGAAATATTGAGATCAAGAGCATGAAACTGATGAGAAGCATGAAAAACAAAGATACCCAGAAAGATTAAGGAAAAGGCAATCTAGGAGGAATGGAGAAGACATTAATGAAGACAGACAGGAGATGGAGAGAGGCAGAAACAACAGCCAAAATGGCAATCAGAAGACACAGCTGTAATTATAGTTTTGATCCACCTACTACATAAGATAGAAACATTTAATTTCCTCACTTTCCCAAAGAAATTCATGTACAGCATATTAGAGATTCACAAAAAGCAAGCACTCAAGTAATAATGATTTTTGCTAAGATGTGTATGTGTGTACACGCTCTACGGTATTCCCTTACAGGCTCAAAGCTTTTGCCTATTGAGAGGAAAAAAAATAAAATAAAAAAAAAAAAAAAGGATTTTATCAATATTCATTAGCCTCTTATTTTGAATGTATCTAAACGTATTTGGATTTCAACACCTAGTCAGATGCATAATTAGCCAAATGGCTTCTTCACTTGAACTGAATGTTAATTTCCAGATTTCCGAAGGGATACGCAAACTGCTTTGAAGAACTGATGGGATGACTGTCAGTTGAGTATTTAGTTCTTTTTCACAGTATTTAGAAAAACCAATTCCTGAATCAGATCCAACCTTGCTCATTCTAGAAAACACAAGCTCAATTTTTGTGAAATTCTCTTTGTCTGGCAAAACTACACATCGGATATCGTTCAAACTGTACAACTGAAGGCTGTCAAATGGTGATCGCTGGCATGAAGCATCCAGAAAGTTAGGTGCAGGATAAAAGACATTATTTTCCCTTAAGAGACCTATATGAGTAGTTGTAAGAACTAGAGATCTATACACTGTCTGCTTAGCACAGTCTATTTTCACTGTGGTATACAGCAGTACATGAATGTCACCTAATGAAGGTTTAATACTTCCCATGTTTTCATGGAGTAAGTAAACCAGATCAGCTAGTAGAGTTCTGAATTTACAGGACAATCGTACTCCATTTGAAAAAACTAAGTCATTTACTTCTGATGTCCAGTCAAGTGAAATCTGCATCAAATCACCTTTCAAGAGCTGATGATTTAAATAAACAGCATCATCCGTTGTAGAAATCAAAACACTCATTATGTCATGGCAAATTCTTTGAGTGAAGTGTTTGTTATAGGTAAATACTGTGAGTAAACCATCTTCAGCAGAACACAGAAGACTAATACTCTGTCCAGCAAAGCCAACTTCAATCTCCTTTATCGTGATGATGGGAACCTCATGAAACATTGCCAAGGAACTCTGGTAGATGTCTTGTTCGACTGACGAAACAACAACATACAGAACAGAGCTGAACAAAAGCAAGCAAGCAGGTTCTGGATCGGGTTTTTTGCAATTACCAACAGCAAGCCAATATATAGCTTTCAACTCCTCCATTCTAATACAAGGCAAGGAACAGGTCAAAAATTCCAACACTTTTTCCAGAGAACAGACCTGAAGCTTCAAAAAGACATCAGGAAAACACACAAATTTCTGTCTTAACACAAGACTGTTTTCCAGCTCTTCATTTTTACAACAGCACGCAAATCCTTCAGAGGGCTTTCTCGTACAGGCATCGGAGATTTCTGTGCTTACACACACCGCGATAGCCTCTTGCACAGGGTATTCAGGCTGAATGACTTTTTCAGTATGAGCTTTGGCGTCATCAGTAGAGTGGGATGTGTCTTGATTCATATCTGACTTGAATACATTTACTTGCAAGTTTCTTATAAATGGCAGATTTCTTATTAATGATACTGCTTGTGCACATCTCTCACTTCTGTCACACAAACTTCCCAACTCCTTAATTTGTTTAGAAACCACCGTACTGTTGAGCAGCTGACTACTGGTATCTTTGTAAAGGCAGGAAAGCTTACTGAAAAGATATCCCAAACCATAAGTGTGTTCTGGTCTCACATCAAAATGAGAAGCTACTGACTTAAAAGAAGTCAAATCAGAGGCTTTTTGTGTGGGAAGCTGAGAATTACTAGACTGGTCTTCAATTGTTGGGTGCACTGTCTTAAATGGGCTGTTTTCTTTACAACTTATTATTTCAGAATGCACATTAGACTGAGAAAAGAGAAGGCATGATATGCTGTTAAAGCCAGCCTGCTCATTAGCACCCATTAAGGATCCTACAGGAGACAGCTGTTTCAAGTGGGAACAATCAGATTCAGTTCTTGAGCTGTCACAATCCTGAGAATTCATTGTTTTATCATCAAAATGATTGAAATTTTCAACCTTGCAGAGCGAATAAGCCACGTTATTTAAGTCATGACTTTGTAAAGAAGTAGATAAAACGTTCTGATAAGGAACAGTCTTACTCTTTAAAGTATTAATATTTTTAGACTGAATTAAACTACTTTCAATGTCACAACAACAAGCAAGGCTCTCCTGTTCCAAATTACTCCTTTCATTCTCAATTGCCTTCTCTGATGTAAAAGGGGAGCAGATTCTTCCAGAACTGGAAAATAAATCCCACATCTCTGTATATTTCTTCTGTCTTTTATGGTCTCTTACTCCTGTGTTTTCTCCACACAACTCAGAAGCACAATTGCCATCTTTAGACATAAATGGAAAGCCATAATGTGGCTGCCACTGTTGACTTTTCTGTTAAAAATTTCAAAAGAAGAAAATAGAAATGTCTTTATAAAACCTTCTGATTTGAACATTTCTTAAATTGAGGATTGATTTTGATTCTGTTTGTACAATCATTCAAAATTGGTACAATCATTGTACAATCTCTCAAAATTAGAGAGAGAAAAATCCAACAGAAGTGATTGAGGTCTGATTCAGGAATGGTTGATCTTCCCAGCCCACCACTCCTTTTCCTTTGTACAGTATCCATTTCACTTGGTTTATATTTGCTTTACTCAAAAACCACAGGAAAGTCAAAGGGCAATGCAGAAATTTATAAGCCCTTTATCATTTTTCCACACATGCACAAAAAAGTAATCCTATACTATCCAAGATAGTGTAAAAAGTCCAACACAGTTTAAAAATAACAGTCTAAAAGTCAAAAAAAGTCCAAATTAGAGCTGTTGCAGCCCTCTGACTATTAACATTTAAATCCATAAAGGTATTTAGGATTTACTCACCAAGACAGGTAATTAACCATGGTTCAAGCAAAAGTTAGGCAACCAAATACAGTGGGAGGGAGCTAAGCCTCAGTTTAAAAATACATGTATGAATCCTTCATGACATAGGCAAATTTGCCCAGTGCTACTTGATAATATTACAGACACCCTTACAGTAGTGAGTTCACTATGAGTCAAAAATGTGAAGTGGTATTCTGAATTCAAACAACCTCTCCTCATTAAATGCTTTTATCCTCTAAAAATCAGGAAAGGGATACTGTTCCAAATTAAGAATCATGACAAAACAAGGAAGAAACATCCACAATAACACCACACCTTTCAAATAAGGAAAGAGCTATGCCCAATCTGAAAAAAATCACTTTAATTCCAGCTGGCAAAGTACATTGCTGTCTCTATTAGCCATTAATCTCGCTGTGAATTCAAAATTCTAATTATGCAGCTAAACATTAAGAAATTTAATTACAGGGCATGCCATAATTTAAGACAACCATTTCATTCTGACAAATTATGACCTACCTCATACTTCAGCTTGCGTTGAACAGTGCCATTATTAAGCCTCTCATTATCCTAAGAACAAAAAAGATACAGGTGATTATTAAAGAGAGTGTCTTTCTTGTATAAGTTAATTTAAAAGTATTTATAGGAAGAGACATTCTTTTTAATAGCCAAAACTAACTACTTTCTTATTGATATTTATTAAACCACTAGCTTAGAAGTCAATCAACCCAGTCTTCAGATTAATTAGATCACCAGTTTTTAAATGAGCATTTGTTTGCAAGTATAAGCAATTACCATTCTTCTGGATGGAATTTTATCAGTGTATTTTACAGACATAAAATGAAGATTTTTTTTTTTTTTATCTGCAAGCTTCCTATTGCCATTTACACTGTCTTCCCTGCAAAAAACATGGAATACAACATAAAAACAGCCACTGGGGAAAAAAAAGACGAGCAAAATCTAAAACTGATATCCCTGATTTACTGTTTACTTTTTTGGTAAATTGAAATTAAGTAAACATAGGAAAACATGAAAAATTAATGAACAACAAAACTAAATCAGTGGTTGCATATGGTGCATTGAAGGTCAGGACTTCCTACCCATCTCTGCTCACCTTTAAACTTTCTGTAGACCAGGACAGGCCAACATCATTATCCTCAGCTTTATGATGAATATTCTGGAGCCTCCTCTGCACTTCTTGTTCAATAAAGGCAGTTATCCTTCAAGATATAGAAAAGTTTAAAAAAGTATACCCTTAGATAAAAATCAAGACAGGCTACAGGGCTCTTTGAAACGCTTATGAACTCCAAGTGCTGCGCAACTCTTAATTGGCAGGCTCAACATTAGACCAGTTTTATCCCTCCTTAAGAAACATGGACTTCTAAGCAAGTGTTCATTTAACAGGCAAAGGTTAACCATTCGTTATCACAATTGGACAATTTAATGGACCACAAGTTAAGTCACTGCTACGCGTACAGCTATACATACAAGTGGCACTGAGGGTAAGAGAGATGAAGAAATAGAAGGCTGCGGTTGCATCTTTAGTTACTTAATGGTATGCTTTTATCACTTTTGCAATATCGGCAACTGGGGCTAAAAAAAGGTTTGGTCTCCAAACAGAAGGAACGTTCCAAGAGTTGATACTAACAACTGCACGTATAAGTGTAAAAAGAACAGAGAGGAAATAGATTTTAAGTGATACCAGGCAGCTGCCCTATTAAAAAAAGGCTTAAGACAATTTACTTTACTTTGCTGTTTCAAGTGTATATAAGGCAATAACATATAGACAAGTAACTGTAAACACAAAACCAATTCAAATACATTTAAGCCCACAGTTTCACAAACATCTGTTCTAAAACAAACTGTACAGGAGCAACAGATGAGCCTGTTGGTTATTTAAAGTAAAATACAGCTAATTAATTTTATTTCCAGACTAGTCTTTAAGTACAATTACAGTATTTAATTACAATCCGACTGTGGCAGAACAATCTTTCCAAATATTTCTCTTCTAAAGCTATTGTTTGCATTCATATCAAAATATTGCAGAAATGCAGGTTACCTACCTATCATCAACTAGCGGAGCAGCGGGTGGCTGTGGCTTTGTTGGGCTGGTAGGGGAAGTGGTATGGGAGAGTCTCTCTTCTAATGTTCCATGATTTCCTTTCTGACCACCATCACCCTCGTATATTTTTTGCTTCAGCTGCTGAATTTCCTGGTCCAGGCTATAAAGAGATCTTAAAATGTAATTTGTTTTGTTTTAGAGTTGATTCCCATAGTTCTTATGGGAAGTACTGTACTTACACTGGGATACATGTAAGTAAGATTGTACATATTAATATTTATGAAGATATAAAAATCGTAATTGTTCTTTCAGCATATTTAGATAGGAAAATAGAACAGCTCAAAAAACACATTACAACAGCAGTATTAAGTTAAATAAAACAACTTCAACAACTTCCAGTGTCAAAGGTATCTAACAGCACATTAAACATTCATTCATAAGACTTAACCTATCCATTAGGATCACTTGAATAAAGTTTCCTCATTGCAGAACTCTATCAATGAACTCAGTTATTAGCTTCCAGTGTGAAGTAAATGAATAAATGGGGGGAAAAAAATTAAAAACTCAAAATACAGGACTAATAAAAAAAAAATAAAGACAACCTAAAACAATGATGTGGCAAAACATATCCATAAGGAAAAAAAAAATCTTTAAATTGTGTACTGTACATATAAATCTTATTTTCCCGTTATTCCTTCTGTCTGTGTATATATTTTTGAAAATTTACTTACAAAATAAAACATCTAGTATTTATTTTATATACACACCTAATAAATCACCTTTTGAAATGGAAACCTCCTCACTTTCTTTAACAAATATATTTCATACCAGCCAGATTTATGCACAGAGTAGAATATGTAAAATTGGATACCATATTTTTGACTGAAAATGCCTGAAGCATCTAGTATAAAATAAGAAGCACTTCTTGCAATATTTATTACTTAGTCAAATTAAACTATATTATAACAAAGTAATCTGCAGAACACACTTTTCATTTGTAATGTAGCTGAGATTAGATTAGTAACACAGTAATAATCTTGCCTGTTTCCCTTACAACTTTTGCCTCTAAAGGCAATTGTTTTTCTAGAGGTCACTTGAAAATTAAGGAATAAAAGACAAGAAGTTTCTGCAAAAGCAGGGGAAACTATGCAGAGTTGGCATTCTACCACTTATCCTACAATTGCATATATCTAAATTGAAGTACAGTGCTAGAACTACTATATTACATCCTGGAGGTTAAAAGAAAAAATTAAAGAGATGATGAATGCTAAGGCTTAGGCTGGCATAAAGCAGGCTGAATCGTTACTTCATTTTCAGAGCACTTTTGGCAGCACTGCCAGAAGCCACCTGTTTCTTTTGATTAGCAGCAAAACAATCTCACATCCTGAGGGAAAGTGGATGGGAGATGGCTGATGTATATAGGAGAGTGTTTGCATCTACGGAAAATCAATTTAACCACAAAAATCAGAATTACATTAAAGGAACAAAGCTTATCTCTTGATTTGTAAACATCCTACCATCAAAAGATATCACTTCTATAGCTATAAACTTATCCAGCCATGTGATGCATCCATCAGTAAGTAGACTAAACTGCACCTTGCCACTTGTGAGAGATACATCCCGTTGTCGCAAAGATGACTCTAAAGTTGCTTTATGTTCATTCTATTGCCACAAACCTCTGCCAGTCAAGACAAAACATGTATGCACTATTCCAGTATAACTTAACTTCAAATTATCATTTTGGGGGTCATCCCTGTAGGTAAAAGAATTTGAGCTAATCTATTATTCAAACTGGAAAAAAAAAACCATTTTATCCAGTTATGACTGACTTATGCTCATAGAGCATTTCAAATGAATATTGCATTTAAACATTTTCAGAGAGTTCACACTGATCTGAACCAGAGCATATCATCACATAATGGTATCTAGATAAACAACAAGAAACATATCCAATTCATATGCTTACTATAGCGCCCAAGACATTGTGTACTCTGAAGTGTAAACTCAAACACAAGAGCGATAAGTAGCCTGAAACATTTAATATACTATCATGTATCTTAAGATTTTCTTCTGCCTCAACATTGATAAAAATATTCTGAATTGAATTATTCAGACCCCTGGGTGATTCATTGAAAGACTTCAAAGTTTTATTTAGTTTGTGCAAGCAGACTTTAAAGTAAACAAGGAAAAAACAAAGGGGGAGGGGCAGGGAAGAGACGTTTTTCACTTCCTTGGTATCTTTTCCAAACCTCAGTCTTGTAGCTGACAACATATTTTTTCACTTACCATACAACCCAGCAATCTCTCGAGGGCTAACTAAGCTGTCTATTTGTGGAACCTCCAGTTGTTTATAGCTTCCTTTAGTCAAGCAAGATGCTTAGTGTAGGAAACGAGATTTTATGTTCAAGACAATTATGAAAAATAATGGCAATATCCACAGTAAAATGATAAATCAGTATTGAAAATGCTTAACTAAAATTCACACAGCGTAGCTCTAAATGTTGAAAAAGTGACCTCTACACAGGGTATAGAAAGGAACTATTCTCTTCTGATAATGGTTTAAAAGGAAAAGGATACAGAAGAGCTCTTCAGTTTGGCTATAGGCAGATTTCCCTTTTCTGGTGTTTTTTCTAATCAAGCATCTGTTTGAAGGGCTTATGAAAGATGAGTCAGATATTTAGTGGAATATTAAAAAAACAAATGACAAATGCTACCTCAAGAAAAACCACTTCACTGTTTCACCAATAATCACAGGTTTTAAAGCTCTAGTATTAGCAAATCTGACAACACATTAAAAATGGCAATTCTGCTCTTTCTCCATCCTGCATGGATTAAATGCGTTAATCCCAGTGGATTTTTGCTCAGGCCAAAAACAAAATGAAAGATTTCTTCCTCTTCTTCCACACAGAAAGATCCTTCCTTACCTGAATCACTTTTCTCTGAGCCTCCCATACTTAGGCTGAATGTTATGCTACCAGATATCATGTGTATAACCGATGACATCGCTTCTGTACTTAAAATGGTTTATCATCACATAGGGCTGTACTAAAGCCTCTGTATATTTTCCAATGAGCTAAAAAACCACCATCAAATTTTACATGGATATATGGCTAGTCTATTTTCTTTAGCCCTGAAACCAATAACAAAAAATTAAACATTACACCTTACTCTGAATACCAGAAGTGTTCAGTATATCATCAGCCGAGAGAGACAGTTGGCAGCCTACTGTAACTATCAGTCTCCAAATCTTGAACCAACATCTAGCTTGTTACTAACAAAGAAACAAAATGTTATACATTAATATTTTAAGAGGAAAACAGTTGTTAAATGGTACATGTTTTTGTAAGGGCAGAACATAAGGTTGGCTGAGCTTTCTGAACAGGTAAACCAATTTACTTAAAGTACTGTGATGGCTAATGCGAAGACTAGACTGCTGAAGGTGGAGTAAGTTTCCAAACACAACAGAAACTAATGAGTGAGCAAGAATCCTTTAAAAAGCAACAGAGAGTTTCAATTCTGGGTAAACTACTTGAAACTCATCAAGAAACTCAAAAATTGGGACACGGAACGAGTCGCTCTCTCAGCATCTAAGGTATAAAATGATTCAGTTTTTGTGGATAGGTTCTAATAAGCGGAAGCTACCACAACTCTTACCGTTCTCGGTCTTGTTCAAGGGCCTTCTGCTCTGCTTCTAGACTAGCCTGCAGACCTGCCTGTTCACTGCAGCTGTTGTTCAAGGTGGCAAGCTTCTGTTTCTGCTCTTCAATTTCAAAGTCTATCGTTGAACGACGTTGCAAAGCAGAGTGCCTCCTTTCTAACTTAGCAACAGCTTGCTCCAGCGCCTCTCTCTGCTGTTTTTCCCTTGATTCAAGGATTTCTTTTTCCTTTTTCCGAACCTTTTCTTCCTGACGAGCTACATTGGCTGTGAATTCAAAGGTTTCTTGAAGCTGCTGCAGCTGATTTGTGCTAGCTCTATACTGGGCAAGCTGCTCTTCTTTTTCTTCTATCTCTTTCTCTATTTGATAGAGAGTATTATCTAACCCTAACAAGCCCCTATCAAGGACTTCAGAAGCTCTTTGTTTTTCTTCCAGCAGAGCTGGCAAATGATTACTCTTCAGGTACTCAAGCTGGCGTACTTTAGACTGGAGCCTGTACTCTGCTGGCTTTATCTTGTCAAATTCTTCAGCCTTGAGTACAGAATCCACAAAGTTTTCATCATCTCTCTTGAGATTTAAATGTTCTTCATGTGCAAATCTTAAGTGTTCCAGAGCTCTTTTTTCATCTGCTATTTCCTTTTCTAGGTGATCCATTTGTTGAACTAAATCTTTTTCCAAAATAGTCAACTGTTCCAGTTGTTTCCTTTTAAACTCTATGAAATCATGCTGTGCTTTTTCTAACTCTTCACAGTTTTCATCACCTTCAGATCGGGCTTCCTTGACTTTCAAAAGAGATTCTCTAATATCTTCAAGATCTCTTTTCTCTTCTTCAACTCTTTGTACATCCCCTCTCTTCAGGAGCTCTATCATGACCTGCTTCTCTCGAAGCTGTTCTTCCAGATGAGCCACCAGCATCACCTGCTCCCTTTCTTGTTCTTCAAGTCTCTTTTTTTCCAATTCCAGCTTAAAATACTGTTCATCTTTTTCCTTTTTAAGTTTTTCTAGTTCACGGAAAATCTGCATTTTCTCTGCTTTTTCATTATGATTAAGTTCTTGTAGTCGCTGCAGCTCCTCTTTGACCCGGGCAAAAATTTCTTCCTGCTGCTTTTTCTTTTGAAGCTCTATCTCCTGTTGTTCCCGTAATCTCTCTTCTTCAAATTTTTCTTTTTCAGCTAGCAAATCCTTTAACCTGCTCTCAATGTGAACACTTCTCCGTTTCAGACTCTCCTCCTGTTTTCGAATTTGCAGCTGCACTATTTCTGTCTCTTTGCGCTGTGACTCTACTTCTTGCTGCATTCTTACAAGTTCTGCTTTGTCAGATCTTTGTTTTTCTTCCATCTCTTCTATTTGTTTCCTACAGTAAAACATTTACATGCAATATTTCAAACTTTTCTTTTTCTTTTTGTTCCAAAAGAAAACATATCCCTTATAATTTAAAAATGTTTGGACAAGGATTTTGCAGTATATATAACGGTTTCGTTTTTTAATAGTTTTATTTTGCCACAGGTTAAGATCTTACATTGCTTGGAAGTGATTCAATGCATGAGACAAATGGTAAAGAGTTCATATAGTCTATTTCAACATAAAAAGTTATGGATATATGAAGTTATATGAAGACATGTTATATAGCACTTACATTAGTAGAAAATTAGACTGTATTAGTCCTGTCAAATCCAATAAAATGTTGATAGAACACATCCATGCACACAGTGAAGAGTAAATACATATATTTTTATATATACATACATTCTCATATACACAAACTTGTATAAAAGGACTTGATTAGAAATTTGCCTCACCAAATTTAAGCCAACAGATGAATTAAAATTATGTCTTCTCTTTAGGTGAACCCAACTGAATTATTGATAAACAGGATTATAGGATTAAGAACAGACATATTTGAGAGAGAAATTACTTTAAGACAAATTATTGTGTCATATGCAATCTCTCTTTTAAAGGTTCTAGTGCATTCCAAATGAGAACAGACTGAGACTTGAAGGTCACCATTTTCCCCATAATATAACCTCCTGAATAGATGTAGAGACAACCTGCAAGTCGGTTGGTTATTTTGCGAGAAGTTAGTCAGATAAATTAAAGCACAAGCAAAGAAACTTCAGCACAATCTGCATTCAAATCCTATCAACATAACAAAGAGAATAAATCTCAGTGATTCTGTTGCATCATTTTCTGAATAATACCTTCTAATACTTCAGAGTTTCAGGGGTTTTCTGATGAGCCAGAACAGTCAGTTTTGCTCAGTTTGCCAGCTGACAATAATACTTTTGTTTGTACTTCAAACTGATTTTGAAATAATGTTCTGGTAAGTATGATTGGTATGCCCATACCAGCACTACAGTTTTATTTAAGAGAAGCAGAGTTTGTAACATGAGTTTTTCCAATCAGGATCCAATCCAAAGGCAACCAAACCATAACAAAAAAAACCAAAAAGTCTGGATAAAGAATGTAATTTGCCATCTTTCAAAATAATACCATGGAAATTAAGAGCGAGAGTAATATATTACATTTGTATAATCTACCCTCCTCATACTTTGTGTTTGGTATTTTCTTTGCTAAAGATCAGTTAGCTACTATTCAGCTTCTCTATCTGTCACTAGTCAGTAAGAATGAACAGTTCAAGAAAATAACCAAAATCTTCACAGAAGATAAAACAAAATAAAATTACTTATATCAGGATCCTCTGCTTGATGAGTAACACTGTGATTCCAAATTAATGATTTAAATGAGTCTATAACATGTGTATATATACACACACACACGCGCGCGTAAAGACCACAGAGAATGTTACCTTTTACTCTCTAATTTTTCAAGCTCCTCTCGTTGTTGTCTCTCAAATTCTAGCCTGATTTGAAAAAACACAAAAAAACCCCCACACAGTAAAAAGGTTATTATTTCCTGAGTATCACAAAAAATAGGAAGATTTGATGCAATTCAGTGGTTTTTTAGAAGATTATAACAATGGTACAAATCAAAAGTTTTATAAAACTACTTTCTACAATAACAGAAAGTATTTACTTCATTAGGGTTACAAATTAGATATCATGCTGTCTGACACGAGTACAAACAGAAAAGTAAATTAATTTCTGGGGGAAAAAAAAAAACTATTTAAAAAGTAAAGTTAAACGAGACAGATAAATGATTAGCATAGCCTCTGCAAGTTAACTACATGCGGACATGGCAATCAATACATAGAAATTGAATTTCTCTACCTTAGACAGATCGGTCCTTTTACAGGGAAAAGACTGCCATGGGAGGCAGGGGTAAACAGAGCAATCAATTAAGAAAGGAATTGATAGAAAAAACATATTAGTGGTACAGAATATTTTAAAGTCAACAACAGTTTGTTTTATTAGAGGTTAAATTGGTTAGATTCATAGAACATTTGTCACATTACAAACCCAAAAGTAAAATTTAAATAATTATTCTTTCTAAACACGTTTTTCAAACGCCAATAATAGTTAAATCAATGCTCCTGCTCCTATGGTTTGTTAACTTGGCCACTTCTGAGAAAGGAAAGATCTACAAAACTATGCTACAGCATGCTCATAGTTCTCCCTTTTTCTCCCAAGGAAAAAAAAAAAACCAAACCTCAAACATTACCATGATGTAATCGGTGAGGCTGAAAAACCTCAAATTCCTGCAAAGTGCAACATTCAAGCACAGAACAGAGTTCAAACCCATTTATCCAAAATATTTTGAGATTTTGATGTAATTAGTTTTATAAGGTTCTGAAAAATTATGGGAGAGTATTTTATGTCATTTTTAATATCAGCTCTTATTACAGTTGTACAGAAGTCTTGCTCTTATTTTAATTTCCTTTGAAAAATTTATGAGTTTTTAAGGAAATTTTTCAAAATAAGTATTAAAAAAGCATAGAGAACCTACATATGGACTGAAATATTCAACCAAATACACAAATATCCAGTTATTTCAGGCCTGCTACAGCTTAAGGAGTTTGCAGGTTAGTGAGACAGTCCACAAACACTGAAAAAATGCAAGACTGCACCACACCGAGCCCAGAGAGTTGTGGTAAATGGTGTTAAGTCCAGT